CAAGATGGTCCTAGTAATGGCTGTTAATAGCAGCACTATAATTCTACCCAGCCTTCGTGGAATTGTGAGCTTTAAAAAAGTATACATTAAATCATATACTTACCCAATCAAGCATCATTACCAAGGATACTTAAGAAAAAAGCTTTTAAAGCAATTCAATTCACCCAATTTACTTGACTTGAAGGTTGTGGAGGAGAAAATATCTAAAACATCCAAGAATCTCGTTACAATCACTCGTGCAAGCTACGTCCACCTTCCATCCACAGGCGTTTTTTTTCCGCAAACCGTGGTATGCAGGCCTGTATTCATTTTTTTCTCTTTTTTATGCTGAAACATACCGATCATACCATTCCTGTCGTAACCCTCATGCAGAACCATGCAGAGCCAAAATGTCAACCAGACACCGGGACATCGGACCTTGTTACACCCATGAGTATTATCCCTCACAAAGTCTTGGTTTGGTCCTTCAACACCATGTTTATAATGAAACTGGTTATAGTGCCTCGTGCTTCCCCGTTATGTCTAGAATAGCTGCAAAGGCTGTGTCCTCAGAACGTGTCCTCCACTTTTAGGAACAGAGAGAAATCTGGAATTACTTCATTATAATCCCACTTTTCCTGTTGGTGGGTTGGCTGTCAGCTGCTTTGGTGTGAAACCATGACAACCAGTTCTCCTCACACAAGTTTTTGAGGTCATGTATTAATTTTATGTTGAATTAAAATGTGTAAAAAAAAGCAATAATCTATCTAAGTGGCACTTTGTGGAAAATAAGACAGAATAAGGACAAAAGAAAAAGGACAAAGCTTGTCCTGAAACCTTTGACAGATAGTGTTAATCAAGCAAAGTTAATCTTTTCATGAAGACATCAACTGTGATTTAAGCTTGAAAAGCAAAAGATCCCTTGAACCGATGGCACAGCCTGAAGAACAAGACACCTCATTTCACAATCAACACAAGTTCCAGCGGCTGTTTCACACAGGCGATAATCAGGAGTTGGAAACAGTCATGAGGAAGCAGATTAGCTCAGGTTATGAGGGTAGCATTCTGAATACATTGTTTCTGACCGTCCCCGTGGCAGGCAGGCAGGGAGAGAGGGAGAGAGAGAGAGAGAGAGAGAGAGAGAGAGAGACACACACACACACACACGTCATGGAGACCAAAGGACTCCACCTCACCAACCAAGAGCAACCCAAATAGAAATGAGAGACTATCGTTGCTTTCTTTAGAACGTTGGTTAGTGAAGGAAACTGATGTACATGCTTGTGTACGTTACAACAAGGCTGAATAAATCGGCTCCTATGAGCTTACATACAAGTTCTATGGACGTAAACATGAGTGAACTAACTGATGGAGGTGTAGAGTGTGATATTCAGGTTTGACCGTCATAAAGTCAGCACTAATCACATGTGGATTATTCTGTGATGTTGTAGCCTCATTATTGTTTAAATCCCCATTATTAGTTCGTCCCCATTTAAGATCCAAAATCAATTCTGGTGGAGAGAATCAGTGGGATATCCTCACTGTTAATAGTCTGAAAATCATTCATGAGTCCAAGGAGGCAATAATAACAATAAAAGATTTACAAATACATTGAAAAACAGTCAAAGCAGAAATATTTTTTTTGCCATTTTGCTTGAAAAACACATTAGATTATGAAAATGTATGCCGATCCAGGCTTTTAAAAAAAAATAACTCCGTAAAGACAGCAGCAACCAGATCTTACAAGAAAACGGCAACAGAGTCCAAATACAGTATGGTTGTTTGCCTCATTCGTGTCCCTTTTGCCTGCTAGGCGGATACATCTTCAGTGCACTCAGAGTCCCGAAGGACAGAGCTGAACCCTCGGTCTCCCAAAAGCACCTCTCCAAAGACATTCCGTCTGGAAAACTGGGGCTGTCACAATCATTGTTTCAACTTTTTGAACAAATCGTTCTCCCTGGTAAACGCGATGACAATGAGCTTGATGCAATCTATTGCAGGAAATAGGCCCATTTTAAACAGTAGCGTGGGAGCCAATCATTGTGAGCCTCGCGTAGTACCGGGGAGTCAATTGTTGGGTAATGTGATCCCTCTGTGATGAGACCGATCAGATGAAACTCCTCTGGGGGAGACGGTCTGATCACCCAATCAATGCGCCTCACACCAGGCCACTTTCCTTCAACGACGACTTTCTGTCACAACCAGATCCAAGTCCTTTCCCAAGGTTTTTATCGCTTTTAAAATCATGATTGATGTTTAAAGAACTAAATAAAAGGAATGTGCAATACAAAGTAGGAATGGCAATTATTAACTCTTCCTTTCACATAGTGACAAAGGCCAAGAATGAACCATTCTTGGTTTTCCTTCATTATAAACCACGTTTTGGACAAAACAAGAAATTCAAGGTAAACATATTGTGTTCTCTTAATTCTCTAAAACATTGGCTATTGTGATCATTAATTATAAAGCAATATATGTCTGTCTGTTTTCATAGACTGCAAGTTGTCAAAGCTCTAAAGTATTTCACAAGAAAAAAAAAATCTTAAATGTAAGTGCGTTTTGTGTGCGAGACCACCAAAATAGTTTGCATTTATTTCTTCCCTACAATCATCTCTAAACCCTTAGATGGATTTCATAATCTCCTTTGCTGGTCCCAACTCTGCAGGTTAGGAACCACTGGACCAAATGGATGAATAAAATCAGTCAATGGAGAAAAGAATGAACAAAATACAAAAACACACAATTACCGGTATAACCGGTCTGCACTACACAACTTGCTTTCTATTTGTATTTGCTTGCCGTGCTAAAACAAAACAACAAAAAGGCCGAGGAGGAGGGTCGTAATCCTGCGTGCAGCGGTCTGCCAGCGGGGGGGGGGCTCACCTACTGCTTCTGGTCAATGGCTCAGAAAAAAAGCCTGAGAGAACCAAGAGCAGCAACGGTACCAGAGGAGCAACCCGCGCACACGTATTCACCGATTGTGTGAAGAGTATCAGGACACAAACGACAGCTCATTAGCGCTCTGGATGTCTAGAGGACTGAATTCACCTCACCGACCTTGTCTTTAAAGCGTGTATATGGACTTAAACGTTAGTTTAGCCAGCAAGGGCAGAAACCCTCTCGGCATTCTCTTGGTTTCAATCGTTAATCCCGTCCCAGTCTTTCAGCAGACCCCCCCCCCCACCACCCGGTTTGCTGGAGCCATGTAACTCCCAAGGCTGGAGCAGATAACAGTCATTATCAAATTGCCAGCGTTTCTATAAGGAGCTAAACATCGATCGCTCAAGCGCTTTGTTAAAAACATCTCTGCCAGTCCGGGGCCAGAACAATCCGGCGGTCTGAGGAGTCAGTGGGACGTCGCTTTATACAAAGTCATCCACAAAATAAATCATATAATAAGAACAACCAACATCTTTCTTTTGGTGCGAGTAACATGAGCAATCCTGTTGCAGAGAATCCCTGAACCCATTTACAGGTCACCCTCATTAACAACATCAACGGATTAGATCGTTAAAATAATCCACAATCAATTAGCAAAGATGTAATGTACATAATTACAAAACCGCCCAGGCCTGAGTGAAAGTCAAATACGATGCACTTTATGGAGTCACGTTGTGATATGATGTGATTATGGATGCATCAATCCAATTAGCTTGCATCCGCGCCCACACAGAGCGCATCGAGTGGATCGGGTATCTGCGATGATGCGACCAGTCCGGTTTCTTTCGGTTTCAGCGTCACTTCTATGGTCGCGACAAGCGGTTAACTCGGTTTTTATTGACACAGCCAACCCCGGCATCATGTTGCCTTGCAGAGAAATGATTCCCAAAGACCTCACAGTCCACAGGGGAGGTTTCTGGGAAAAGTGATTTTCAGCTGGAACTTGTACTCTACTGCATCACCAGAGAATCAGAGTAGAAATAGCAAAGTCACTATAGAGGGGGAAGTTGTCCAAGTTAATGATTCTGAGGAAGTTGTAAAAACAAGAATAAGTCGTCGAAGGGAGACGTCATTTTTCATTGGGGATTGACAAGACTTTTTCAAAACCACAATAGCAAGTCAGTCAGTATTCAATACCAGTTTACCTAATCTGTATTCATTATTTTTTCATTATTTGTTTTGTTTTTGTTTTCAAACTCTCCGTGTGTTTTTATTGTTAGCACTTACCGGTTTTATCATGTAGCACTTTGAGATTTTCTTAAATATAAAGTGCATTACAAATTAAATGTATTATTATTTTATGTGTAAGGCCAAATCCAGACATTGCTTCCTTAACTAATAAATACAAAAACATATTTACAGAATTTTTATTTATTAAAATAATGGTATTTGCTACCTGACCTGCATAGAACATTGTTCGGAACTGTATGAAAGTACTACAAAATACTCCTCAGTGTCTTTCCCCCTTGAGAAAAAGTAAGGGGGGGAAAAAAAGGCTAAAGGAAGAGGGAACATTTGCTTGTCCTCTGCTACACGGCTGGAGATTAATAGTCTACAGATGGAAACAGGATCACGTTTCAGAGCAGGACAATAAAGCAAAGAGGCCGGCCAAGAGGCTGGAAAGAGCTGACTGGATGATTCTCAGTGCTTTTCTTTTGTCAGTCTGTGCGCACAGGCGCTTGCGTGTATTCGTCTCTGTGTGATGCAGTTCACAGGACATACAAGGACGCGGCCAATACGTAACACTTTGGCTGTATTATATTGATCCAGAGACATTACCATGCACGGTAGCCGGTCTGCCGCTCGATCACACACACACGATCGAACACAGCCGGCTAATGCCCGCGGAGGGCCGTCGGTGCAATTGCAAAATAAATATATCAAAAGCACAGTCACACATGTTTCACGCAATAAATGCCTGCCGCTGCTCGCCTTCGTGGAGAAGAACAAAACTAAAGCCAACGAATGTTGTCCAATGTGTCAAAGTCACTCTCATGTATTGGCTGTGAAGATGCATGAACGTTGAGTCACATTTAGGTGTCTTTGCATGCGTGAGCGAGTGGATGTGCGTGTTTGTGTACCTTGACAGCAGCCGTGTCTCCGTCCTCAGCAGTGCTCTGCCCATTCTGTCAAAAGAGCAGATGTGAGAAACAGTCAGAGTATGACAGTGCATATCTTGTGTGTACGTGTGTGCGTGTACAGAGAGAGCAGACACATAGAGAGTAAGGTGGGGGGGGCGAGAGTGGGGGCTACGAGGGAATATCTGCAAGACTGTGGGGGTGGCAACAGTCCGCTGCATCCAGCACTTTGCTCCTCTGCTGGCAAACCTAATAATCTAGTGCTGACACATAAATGCCCTTCGTCCATCTGCGCCGCAGTAGGTGAGTATTGCACAGAAGGGTAATCATTGTTGTTTGTAAAACAATACCTCGCTGAGGGCTATTCAGAACACCAACATATTGTTCATGTAACACTTCAGAAGTGGGCGGCTAACTTTGAACATACAGTATAATTTCCGTCACAGTGCATGATTATATGCGTTTTCATCCCGTTGCAGACGACGGAGGAACAATAATGAGTATTATATGCACAGGGTACCTGTGGTCTAATGAATTTGAAAAAAAAGGGAAGCGGCCATTATCATGTAAAGTCAAATTAGGATCCCTCGGCATTGCTCATGTTGCCCCCCCCCACCCCCACCCCCACACACACACACACACCAGAGGATCCTCAACTTCCCTTAAAGCAATATAGTAATGTACAGTTGTAACATACATAACTAACATACAGTTGTTTTCACTGCCTGGTACCTCAATGTGACCATTACATTGACCTCAACATGTAAAACACGTGTCCTTTTAATGACGTATGGCATCATCATACCTCTGAGGCATGTGCAGATAAATCTAAAATTATAACTGACCCCCTTCCAGGGATCAAAGGAACACTCCTGGTTCCGGAGTCATGTATTTTCCGGGCCGAGTGTGAGAACACCCTAAATAAATACTCCCTGGCCTTTTCCGCTTTTTGCATTGTTTTTTTTCCCCCCCATCACAGAGGGGCGACGCCGAGGTTGTTCACTTCCTACATGACCTCTCCCCGCTTCCTATTCCTTTAGACTGCAGGCCGTGTACACAATGACAAGCAGTGGCCTCAACAATCAACCATTAAAGATAAAGTGCAGCGCGAGACGGGATGGAAGCACAGGCAGCGACATGAGTGCGGTTCCTCCATACTGAAAGAAAAAAAGACCATCTAATCAAAAATGAATTAGACTGTGGATCAGATTTTCTGAGATACCTCACAATACATTCTGTGCAGAGAGACTGGATGCATTTTGGAAAGTGGATGTACTTATTTTTTTCCTGCTGTGAGCAATAACCAACTGCTATAAAATTGGATGGGCACTATAACCTCAGGCACTATTAGAGACCAGCAGTTCGTCTGGTTGGAGTTTAATCATCTACTCAAAAGAGGAAATGCAATTTAGCAAAGTTGTGCCAGTCATGGTAGCTGGAAATGTGAGAGAACAGGAGAAATGGAGACAATTTAGTGGCCAGATGCAGTTTGAAGTCAGGTTTTAGTGGTTAAGAAAACCTGGAGGAAGTTCAGTGCATGTTCTTACAAAGGACTTGGCAGACTGAATCTCAAAGTGAAACCGTCCCACTTGCCTCCACGTTCTGACTCTGCCTCCTTTTACCTGGCCGTCAGTGAGGCGTGTTTGGTAAAGTGTGCTGACCAGTGGTGGGAATCCTCCAACTGTCTCCTTTCTGTGCGTGTGGTCAACAATGCCGTCCCCAAAATTGCAGTTCAACACATTGAAACCTCATTAGCTTTGCATGGCTGATTCAAGTGGCCCAGTTAATGGTGCTTTCTCTCCCCTGGGCTTCCTCCATGAGAGCACAGGAATGCAGGCGCACGTACAGATGAATATGCTCAAACACATTAGAAAACAAACACCGCTTAGAAAGAAAAAGATACTGTACTTGAACTGTAATGCACACATTGAACTATTGGAGATGCACACAGGATCACTAGAAGAAAATTACAGCCCGCAAGCAGGCAGTGAAATAATTTACCCACCAGCCTATTAAGCCTGCTGGAGACAGAACGTGGAATTTCTCACAGGAGTCCTGCATGATTAAGCAAAGTAAACGATATCAGAGCACTGAAGCTGTGTGCGTTTGATTCGTGGTTTTAACGGTGTTATTTGAGCAGCTACCGTCCCGTAACTAGGCAACAAAAAACACAATAACAATTCCTTTTGTCCGAGCCTTTGATTCTATCCGACTAAACGTCCTGTAATCTCTCCCGTCAGTATTGACGACAGGTCAAAGTACCACTGCAGTCTTTTGGATAATTGACTCACTTACAAGTTAACTTTTTACTTTGGATTATAAAGAAATGAGGACTTTTCTTTCTCGGGGCACCTATCAAGCGAAGGGATTTGTTATCACATGCCGGCCCCGCCCCGCCGCTCAGGTGTTCAGCAGGTCGCACCCAGATTTACTGCAACCAAGCAGACTGTGCGAACACGTACGCACAAAGCACGTATGAACCGAACCGCAGCGAGCACAAACTCACAAGTGCTCGAGAGCGCCTTGCTGACCGCGCCTAGCTCGCAAACATGGCACACATTCCGTGTATCGACCTGGCTTTATCCTCTAGATGGAACATTACGTAAGGAGTGAATAGTTCACGTCTTTCCGCACCATTTCTCCAAGTCTTTGCTTGTGCAATCCTGCATTATAAGTCTTACTTTCTTTAGAAATACACTTTTGCTTTTTCCCCCATTTGCTTCCACCTCGTCTTCGAAGAAATAGAATTCCACCCTCATTCTGAAAACGCGAGGGGAGCATAAAGAAAGAGTGTGAGAGAAAAAAAAAAAAAAAAAGAGACTTTGCCTCTGATGGTGGACTGGAGTGCAGACGCTGGCCGAAATACAATTTCCTCCAGAGAAGGAACGAACAGCAGTTCAGGTTGTAAAAGGAGAATCGAGGAAAAGAAAAACGCATGGCTAAAATAAAGCACCTAAGAATGAGAACTTGTATACTGAAATAATTGAATCGAAATAATTGCAAAAGAAACAATTATGAAGAAAGGCCCAAGAGCCATTGTGGAAAAAAAAAAAAAAAAAACAGATTGGAAATACAAAACTATTCAAAAGTCTCTTATCAAGTTACAAAACAAGAAAAACAAACAAGTCAAAGGAGGAGCAAAAGCGAGAAAGATAATATGGATGAATATAAATTTTTTTAAAGAGGATTTAAGGGCCTGCTTACAAAACGGTCTCCCTTCCCTAATTGACGTTTTGGCATGTTTTAAGAACCTAAAATATACCCAGCAGTGCTTGAAGCTACAGTGAGCATTACGATCAAGCCGTAGCGTTTTACCACGTTTCAAGGCAAGATACAAGATCCCCTCTATGGATCCGTGCAATCTCATATCATACGTTTCAGGGTTGGCACTGGAGGGATTATTCATTAAGAGTTCAGATTTGCAATAGATAAACATTGACAGAAGCATGACTCAGCTCTTCTGGAGGACCTTCACTGACCCAGTGATGACAGAGGCCAACGCAGGCGGTGGTCACTCAACTGAGAAAGGGCGGGAATGATTTGTTAAAACTGTCCTTATCGAAAAGATGAATCAATGAGAAATGAATTCATAACAGAAATGGTTTTCTGAATAAAAAGGATCAATAAAAAAAACACACACTTTGAAATAGCTAAATTTGCACATTTCTGCTTGCTTTTGTCACAGCATCGAGCACAAAAGCAAAATCTGATTTCCATTCATGGCACCTTCCAAACGCAAGCACTGACATAATGAGTGGCTGGTGAAAAAAACAACTGCCACATAACAACTCCCTCTGTGTTGAAATGTCTTTGTAATACATTTCATCCTTTATTTTCAAAAATCGGCCAAAAGTGCATCTCTGTATCCATCCCATCTGTCTGCGTGACACGCAGACCCACGGCTCTGCCTGGCGTTTGACTCTCCCAACATGTTCGCTGGCATGGCCTCCGGTCGCACTCGCTGTCTCTGCTCAATCAATCTGAGCCCCCGAGCTGTCTCGCTCTGCCATCGGGAACCAACGCGTGCAGCTGGCTGGTTGGTTGGTGACGGAGATCCATGGCAAAGATCCCTCTTTGACTCTTGGTGACTTGTGCGATCAAATCAATTACAGACGCAGTACTTTAGTGAGTGTTAGGCGGGGGGGCTCAATGCTGGCGTGAGAAAATCTCTATACAATTTATCCTTACGTGTACATGCTGATATTTACACACACAATATTTTTTTTTGCAACAGTGTTTTGTTTTTTTTAGGAAAAACTTTACTCAAAACCTAGGCTGGGTATGTTTCACAGTATTAAACTTAGCACTCTTCACAGGCTCGGCGCTACCATCTGTTCAGCTGTGACATGCTACTCAGCCAACTCATATGCTGCAGAATGCTGTAAATATTAGACTCTGCGGGTAACCCGCAAGTCACGACGAAGGAGATTTTTTTTTCCCCTGCATTATTTGCACGTTTTTCCATTCATTGTAAGCCTCAATAGCACCTCTACAAATCAACCGTAACTCCCAAGTGCACATCAGACGGCGTCTAGTCCAGTTGATGCTTTGCATAACTTAATGAGCCGAGACTTATCAGCCTGTCTTTTATAAAAAAAGACCTTGAGTTTGATCAGAAAACTCAATTGTTTTTAAATTGTTTTTCACAGAATTATTACAAATTCTTTCCTCGGCTCCAGAAATCAGAGAGGCTATCGAGGCGGAGAGATGGACAAATGAGTGTCATTATGAATGAGCGCTCATCTCTTCAGCTCTCCTGAAGCGGATTGAGGACACGGTTGATGAACAGCGCTATCCGTCAGCGAGACTCGTCACACAAAACGTCGGTCCAACGGGCCTCTCCTCGCCTGCTCAATTGGCTGCCTGATTGAAAAGAGACCCTCCAAGCATCCCATTAGAAACCGGGTAAGCAGTGAATTTTACGGTGTCGCCCCAATAAGACACAGGTTGCTTCGAAGCCGCTCGTGTCTGCTCATTGAGAACACAATGTGACACATGCATATTCATTGAGCAACCTGTCTGTCCAAGAGACGATTGAATCGTTCATGAATAATCATACTACATGAGAATGAGCTGCTCTCCCGGTCCGTGCTCAACAACGTCGTCATTCACCTGCTCCGTGTTAAATCAGGCACTGCTCACGAGGCGGTTTAATAAAAAAACCTGCAACATCAGAAGTGCTTTTGTAAATGACACCGGGAGAAAAAACTCCATGAAATCATAAATGCACCAGTAAGTTTGATGGTCCACATGGGCCAGGTAGATTTCCTCTACCTTTCATTTTTGATGACATGTGTGAAAAGGCATTTGACAGAATTCACTGGAAACCACTTTGCAGGTGAGAGCTTCAGTAGAAGAAGTGACAATCTGCATTGAGCTCTGAAAAGTACTTATCTTACATGAATAGGTAGTGATGGTCACGCCAATCGTTGCCTGTAAATGGAATTTAAGTGCCAAGTCCTCCAGAACATCTGAACTAGTTTTATTGGAGAACACAGGATTGTGACGTATGACGTCCCGAGCTAGGTGTGGTTTGAAATAACTTTTTCTAGAGAAGGTGGTGACATGAACACCTTGTAAATCGAGTGGCGATGTGTTTCTTGTGCGCCATGTTACCTGAACGAAACCAAAATGACATTAAAAAAATGAAATAAATGAAACACAGGCAGGCAAACACCACGTCGACATGATTCCACCTCATTACCTCGGTTTCCAGCTGCAGCAGTTCCATTGTGGGCCATGGCTCCGCTATCTGAGCAAGAGGCATTTTCGCAGGGTTTTCTGGCTCTTCGACCCCCACCAGCACCACCACAGTCCCCCCCTCCCTCCTCAGCTGCTCAAGTACCGAACTCGGTCCCCCCGAGACTCTGTTGGTGCCGCTCCCGTCAAGCGCAGTTCACCTGGCGGCTCCTTCCTCGGGTCAAAAGTCCAGGTGGAGAAGATTTCTCAGGAAAAAAAAAATCGCTCTCCACCTCAGGGAGCTGCGAGCACGACACCGGCGGCTTTCACCTGGACACGGAGCCCCCACTCGGCCCGACTCCGGGGTCGGCTGCCGGCCACTTGCGCGTAAATTGTTGAAAGTGAGGGAAAAAAAAAAAAAGACACCTAACGACAAGTCCCCTCGTCCTTCCAGGTTACGCGCGGCGGCTCCTTCGGGCGCGAGCGGGGAGAAGAGCGCGGAGAGCCCGGCGGTGCGGTCTTCTGCTGCACGAGGTCTGCTGCCCAACGACACAACCGACGTCAGCACGAGCGCGCGCCGTTCTTTGCCAAATCTCTCCACGGCTTCCTCCCTCTCGTGCTGTCTCTCCGGGTTGTCTCTCGCAGCGGTGTGGTGGTGATGCGCGCGGAGAGACCTCGGCTGCGGCTCCGTAGTACGAGCAGGCTCCGGGCGCGAGCTGTTATTGGCGGACTCCTGCGGGATCCCCAGCCCCCTTTCCGCGCTTGCACCGCCCAGGTCCGATTGTGCCATCGTATGGCGCAGAGGTGAACTGCAAATACGTAATGCCAACTGGATCGATGGCCGGCTCGGCCTTCTGTTGTGATGCGTGTGGTGCACACGGGGCATCGGAGGAGGATTAGATCCTGTGCGGTTCAAAGGCAAAGCTGTCAATCAAGTCATGAAGGGGAGGGAGTGGCGTCCGAAGAGCACTATGTGGCTGCTCCATGTGCACTGTGACCTTCCATCAGATGGAAATGGAGGGTATGGCAGTGAGAAACTGACTTTTCACCCAGCTGCATTATATATATGTATATATATATAAAAAGAAAAATGAAATATACTTTTGCGCACAGTGCCTTTACATAAATACCACCGTCTGCTTTTGTTCTGAAAACAACACACATTTGAAAAGAATGATCCGCCATAGATTACACGATACACTCAATGTGAAGATTAACTGAGGCCAAAATTGGGGTTGTGACCGGTGCTGGTTGATTCCATCCGGACATTAGATTAACGAGGAAAGCATTTCATTGACAACAGCTCTGGTCAGCAATGGTCCTTGAAATCTTCAGTGATATAATAAAACGCTCTAACACTTCTCTGCTTCATTCACTGCCGAGTGGATTTTGCTCTTTGGTTACTATTGGCAACTGGAGAGCATCAAACGGCCTCACAGCGGATGGATTTGATTTGTTAGAATTCAAATTTAGTTAATAGAGACATTTTGTGGAAACAAAAATGCATAAAAGGAATTAGCAATTTAGTGCCGTTCTTTTGATGGATGCATTGTTTACCAACATTACATGCAAAGGGCTTCTGCTGTTGCTGCATTTATTACACCTATTTATCAAGTGTTTTACAGTCTTTTACAGCCTTTTTTCAGTCTTTCTGGAGAGGGAAACATTTCCTTTTGGATGTCATTGTATGTTCTTAACACACCTTTGCCTTTTGGACTTTGCATCAAAGCAGTAAACAGGAAACACGTGAAAAAATATATATATATTTCATCCTGGTTTTAAGATATTAATATGTCATTTTTATGGATGATTTGAAAGTATATTTAATGATCTATTATTTAGTAATCTAACAGATGTATATTAATGCCGATATGTTGGCACATTTGCAAACACCGGGGAGAATCAAGTCAATGGGACGAGAGTGCTTTTAAGGTTAATGTATGATTTATTATCTGACAAAATACCACCAAAGGGTTTGAAAGATAAGATTACTACATAGAGGGGGAGGGTTCTCCATCACGTTCACATTGTATTGCATATCTTCAAAGCCACTGCCCTCCCAAAGCTCACATTAACCCATCGATTCCCCTCCATGATGGATCAGCAGCTGCAAAGGGAACACTTCTGGCACGTCATAATACTACATCAGTCTTTGTCATTTAGTGAAGCAGTGCAACAGACCACAGGTCCAACAGGCTGTTTTTTTCTCTCTCTCTCTCTCTCTTTTCATCTATCATCCTCTTTTCTTTTGTTTGTCCCCTTTTCCGTTATGCACACGACGTCTGCAGCTCATATTTCCCCCTGCTTACAGCTCCTTCAGCACGATATGAAACGTCACCTATGTTTGGTTTGATCCTCTGGTGAAGATGAAGGCTGTAATAAAGATAAGTCATTGGAACAAATGAAAAGCAGGCTCGGGTAAATCGCCTTTTAAAAAGGGGATGCTTTCCAAAAAGCAATACGTTGCTCGCCATGCTGGCCAGAAGGGACCCCGCTCAGAAAGGCTGTGACTATTGGAAGACATATTGAGGTATAGCTGTTGGATCTGAGGTCCACTAGTAGTCCGACCGCATCGAATCTCTTCTTTGAATCATGACGCTCCAGTGACATCACAGGTGACAGCGATGACTCAGAGGTGTCTCCCACCCAGCGACAGAGACTCCGGGGATACCCTACCCCCACCTCCGGCCAGACAAGAAGCATCATGGGTAATATGACTCAGTCCAGTTTGCAGTGCATGTACAAGGAGGAATACTGCAACCTGAAATGTTGGTGAATTGACGCAGGAGCGAAGGGATCTGAGTTCTGCCTAAAATGTAGATTTGGTCCCCAAAAAACTGTGCAAAATTATATGAGCTGATGCAAAGAGGATACTGCTGCCTCACTTCATTTTTAGTTCCAGCTGAAACCCCAAAGGTGAAGTGAACGGAGAGTGATGATGCATATGCACAAGGAGAAACAATGACTCATACGTCACCTTTTCTCTAACTTCACACAGCAGTAAACCATGCTATCTAAATGGAAATGTTTGCATACTCAAGTCGTGAAGTGGCTGCCAGTTCAAAGACGGCATCTCAAAGTTCATCCGTTCATTTACTGCTGCTTTTCTCTATTTACTGCTTTTCAGGCTTTGCCAATCCGTCCATCCATCCATCTTCAACCGCTTATCCGGGGTCGGGTCGCGGGGGCAACAGCTCCAGCAGGGGACCCCAAACTTCCCTTTCCCGGGCCACATCTACCAGCTCTGACTGGGGGATCCCAAGGCGTTCCCAGGCCAGTGCAGAGATATAATCTCTCCACCTAGTCCTGGGTCTTCCCCGGGGCCTCTTCCCAGCTGGCCGTGCCTGAAACACCTCCCTAGGGAGGCGCCCAGGGGGCATCCTCACCAGATGCCCAAACCACCTCAACTGGCTCCTTTCGACGCAAAGGAGCAGCGGCTCTACTCCGAGCTCCTCGCGAATGGCTGAGCTTCTCACCCTATCCCTAAGGGAGACGCCAGCCACTCTCCTGAGGAAACCCATTTCGGCCGCTTGTACCCGTGACCTAGTTCTTTCGGTCATGACCCATCCTTCATGACCATAGGTGAGGGTAGGAACGAAGATTGACCGGGTAGATCGAGAGCTTTGCCTTCCGGCTCAGCTCTCTTTTCGTCACACCGGTGCGGTAAAGCGAGTGCATACGGCCCCCGCTGCTCCGATTCTC